TGCTGAACAGTGACCAGTTAACAAGTACAAAGTAATATTTTTCCAACATAGCTTCCCAACATTCAGCTATTTGAATTGTACTACTTCTTGAGTAGGAGTTGCGTCCTTGTTTGAGAGCTAAAAACTTTCACACTTTCCCTTCATCAGCAACCAGTGGCTGAAACACTGACTATAAACTCTACACTCAGGATACAGGAAGGACTGACTATTGTATAAAAACAGGCTGTGAAAAGCTACCACCTTGGAGAAAGTAATGTTACTTTAGTTTTCAAAATCTTCAAAGATTACAATAAAACTTATTTTGTATTTCACATCATAAAGGAACATTGTGCCTGTACTGGAATTTTCTTTTGGTTTAGGTATAGAATGGGAAGGGAGCATTTAGGCTACATTTATTAAGTCATTTCATGGTAACACTTTAAAAAGAAGCAATAATTCTCCTACTGCCTTAGGGATTACTGTTTCATGCAAAACCATATACTGCATGTTCCATGCTTAGTCTTCCAACTTTAAAGACGTATCAGTGTGTTAGTACTGGAAAAGGCAGTCCAGCATTTTAAGTCAATACTGAACCACATAGTATCTAAGTTACAAGTCCAATAGCTGCAGAAGTGCCTCAGACAGAATTAATGTCATCCACCATTCTATTTAGGTATAAAATAATGCATGTTGAAAAATAAAATTTTTAATTTCACATGCAGAATTAAGAGGTGTGACTGTCACCACTCAGGAACTAAAGATCTGGGTTGTAACAGGTAATTCTTTGGAAACCATAGTTCAATAACTGAGTACGTTAAGAGAGGAACAAATAAACCAGAAGACAATATTTTGTCAATGTACACTCCCATGACATAACAGCATTTTAAACACTGGATGCAGTTCTGGTTTCTCAATCTCAAACAGGGAGTTAAACCAGAGGAGACAGAACAAAGACAGGGAGGACCGATACTGCAGAGAATCAGCTGTAGCCCTGAAGCAGGCAGTTCCCAAGACAGCAATGCCAGTATGGGACTCAAAACATACACATGCTGTGTCTCTTTAGCACTGAGACAGAGAAGGAAATCTTGCTACAAAAGTTTCATCTGAGAATGCCTTCAGAAAGATTTGAGCTTTTACACCAGGATAACCTACAAAATTCACAACTACTACCAGCTGTGTTCTTAGAATCAGAAAATGAACATGGACAGAATAACCCAAGCTCTTATGGAGAAGGAGTTTGTGAAGTCTGAAGCTTCTTGGAGTACTTTCCGAGAAGCAAATCAATAGCCCTGCCTTCATAGACCAGAAGGAAAATGAATAACATCAGATGGTATTTTTATCAGCCTGGGTGACTGATATACCAAAAATGGCTGCGATCAAATAGGTGTAAAGGGTGAAACTACTGCTACATCAACAGTTACGGCAGAGCTGCACATACAGAACCTGGGAATCTCTTCTCTCACTAGCTCCTTTCACAGAGAACAGAGATCAAAGCCCCAAAACTCTCATTTTTGGTAGAGATGTATCAAAAAATAAAGTCACTAAGTTACCAGGTCAGTCAGGAGCTCAAAGGCAAATCCATGCTACATTGCATGTACACCAAACTTAAAAACATTCACTAGGAGACACCAGAAACTGAAAGGTGATTAAAGCTATACTGTCATATACTTAATACAGCAGCAAAGAGGAAGCAAATGTGATCAAACTAGATACTGCTCTCAAAGAACACCATTTCATAATGTATGGAACTCAAGCACATCCACAGGGTCAGAGAACTATTTCTTAAAATAAACATTCAAACATTGTGCTTATATCTGTTTTCAACACTGAAAAGGCTTAGGAACAAAAAAAAAAATCTGTTGGTCTGCCCTGTTTTCAGTATGAGGAAATTCCATGCTTTTGGGTTTCTTCTTCTGGCTGAGGCTAGAATTTCTACAGATACATGAGACACTCCCACAATTCCTCAAAGATGCTTGTTTGGAAGACACGGAAAAAACATGGTTAACTGGTTAATAAAATTAGACAGCTCTCTGAAGAACGATGCCCCTTTAAGGTTTTTCCCTTAATATTATCAAATAGTAAAACCAGGAATAAGCTATTTACATACCTAGTTTATTTTATAAGAGCTTAGAAATTCCTCATTTGACACGCTGCAAGCCCTCAGTTCACAGGGACACTTTCTAGCTGCTATTATAGCACAACTACAGGACAAATCTTAAAATTGCTCTTAAAGGGCTCAGATTGCTGACATAAGATTCAGTAAAATGAAGTATCTAAAGCTCCAGCCAAGCTCCACATGAACGGGAGAGTACCAGAGCAGGAAAAAACATCAAGTCTGTGTAAGAACAGCCAAAATAACTGTTCAGTGGGCCTTAACCGAACTTACAAAATATACCCATTTGTGCTTTCTGTGTCAGCAGATAGAGCAGGCAAATTTAACATTCCCTTTGACAGCTCCCAGGACTATCTTGGCCAACCAGGGGCAATCCAAACCTACCACACAGACCTGTCATCAGTTAGATCTGTTGAACTGTACACTAGGAAGAGACTACAGAGCTTTCAAGCACAGAGATTGAAAGACCACTTTATATATCGCCCAGACTATTGTTTTGAAGGTTATCACCTGTAAATAACAACTCCAGACATGTAGCAGTAAAACCCTGCCAAGGCTTCCTCAAACTCTGAACTCTGGCCTGTTGGCAAGACAGTCCTGTTCCCTCATCCACCTGCACCACTGGTCCGGCATCAATAAGGAGGAACCTGTTACCAATCTGCAACTCTAGGAACTGAAGAAAGCTTAGTTATACTGGAAGGGCACATCACAGCAGAACCAGTTTTCCGTTCCTCATTTCTTATGACCTCGTCTGCCTCCTAAATGTGGCTATGCTGCTGTTTAGAGATGAAGTCTGAGCACACACTTGTATCTGAACCACATGACAGGTCAACATGTAAGCCAACATCCTGATCTACAGACACACATACTAACCTAAGGATGTATCTTTGTAACATCCAGATCAGCATAACTTATGGCTGTCAAGTGGTACAATACCACTCTCTCCATCTTCCCTCAAACGTGAACTCCTCCTGCTTTTCTTGCTTCTGATCTGTCATTCATGCAGCCACAAGCTGGATCAACTTCTTGACATGACAGAAGTGTTGATATATTTGTTTTCAGTCAGACCAGAGAGTCTGACTTGCCTTCTGACTGCAGGATCACTAGATCTGATCCAAGGCAAAGAGTCAGGAATATACAGACTGAGAGAGAAGAAAAAGGGCAGCTGACAGGAGACAGCCCACAGATAGTTAGGCTAGACAAGGTATAATGTGAAATTGCACCTTAATATAGAAACCATGGACAGGGTAGTAACAGTCCGCTATTTCTAAGAACATGAATCAATGAGCAAGAGGGTGTTGCCAAACATCTGCTAAGGTTTCCTGTGTTTTATCAACACACAGAATAAAACTGGGATTAGTTTCACTAACTTGAAACTTTGTGTCCAAGGAAAAGCAATGAAGCTGGTGAAGGGTCTGGAGAACAGGTCTTATGAGGAGCAGCTGAGGGAACTGGGGTTGTTTAGGCCAGAGAAAAGGAGGCTGAGGGGAGACTTTATTAGACTCTACAACAGCCTGAAAAGGAGGTTGCAGTGAGGTGGGTGTCAGTCTCTTCTCCCAATTAACAAGTGACAGGACAAGAGGAAATGGCCTCAAGTTGCACCAGCAGAGGTTTAGATCAGATATTAGGAAATATTTCTTCACTGAAAGGGTTTATCAAGAATTGCAACAGGCTGCCCAGGGGAGTGGCTGAGTCACCATCCCTGGAGGTATTTAAAAGACATGCAGATGTGGTGCTTAGGGACACACTTAGTGGTGGAATTGGCAGTGTGAGGTTTCCAGTTGGACTCAACCTTAAAGGTCTTTTCCAACCTAAATGATTCTATGAAAATATCACTACTTACAGACTTCTTTAGTTAGCTCACTTAACATGACAACTCTTCTCTAGAGACAGGCTACGGCCAGAGACCATACTAAAGCTGTTCAAAGCACATACTGACACTGACCCTTGAGCAGTTACAGACCCAGTCCATAATTATATTTTGACAGATAGACTCATGTCCTTACAATCCCAAATATTAAGAAATCAATTGTGACTTTCAATCACCTTGGCTGAAGTCACAGCACCAAACTTGACCTTGCGTATAAGTTGTAAACATTCAAAATGGATCAGTCTCCTCATTTTCCTACTAGGAAAATCCTTCCTCCCAAGATGATGGGAATCTGTTTGCTCTAACAAAATCTACTGTACTGTCTATCAACCTCTCCTGAGCAATTCTTGAAGGAGTATGGGTGAGAGACTAGGGACAAATTAGTGTTAAGGTAATTCCTGTAGCTGTAAGAATTACCTTCAGGACTCAGCTCATTACTGTTTCCACTCAGACAGAAAATAGCTTTCAACTCCTACCGCACTCCAGATGTTATATTTGGAAGACTGAAGACACTGGTAAGAGTGATTTGAATCTACCTCTTATAATTCTGTGGAAGTTGTACTACAGAACATGGACAAGAAAAACACCTATGCTGAAGACTCAAAATCTGACTTTTTTTTTACACTGGGAATATCAGAAGCAACAGCTGGCTAGAAAGCCTTAAATGAATTTAGGCTTGTGTTCCTTTGAGTTGGACTGACCCTGAAAAAGAGCAGTAATGATGACCACCCAGAAAGATCTGAAATCTATCAAGACTGTCATCTACAAAATAGGACTCTGTGCACAGAAATTTTCCCTGGAAAGAGCTGATATGAATTCAGACCCACCAGGTAATTCAATGACAAACCCTTCCACTTATGGGAAAGCTAGCCCCAGTTATAACAAAACTAAATAAACTCAAGTCATCCTGGGGAGTTCAGCCTCCTGAAAGTCCCTACCCTTTCAAGGGCTCTTCATTTAGTCTCTGTCAATCCTTCTAGTAGAAAGTCATATAGCTAGTCACTGCTCTTGAATGGAGCCACTGTTTACAGTTTAGCCTACCCATAACAAGCCTAGAAAAGGGAAAAAAAAATGGATCAGGACAAAGGGCTCCTGGACAGTTAAGGCTTCAGGTCACCAGAAAAGTCTTTACACAGAGCCTGCACCACTCTGCCAAACAGGTGGAAGAAGGATCTGCAATACACCTGGATTGCCCAAGCACATCAGGTTTCACTGAAAACTGAGACTGAGCACAGACTGCTGTTGACATTCTGCAACAAACTTGTTACCAAACAGCTCATCATCCACCTACAGGTCCTTCAGCACTGACAAGACCGGTGCTGGGGGAACTATTTGCACACAGGACTTTGTTGAATGCTGTTCCTCTTGTGACACCACTCCCTTTGACAGAATGGCAAGCCACTGACATGATGAGTTCTGAGACAGCCATCACTGGCACAGACAGCCCAGAACTAGCAGAAAGACAGGTCAGATGTACACCACCTGAACACTGCTGCTGGGACTTGTCCTCAGGTTTGAAGTTGTGACAAAATTCAAACATTTTCCCAAATATAGTAAGAAGTGTACATGTGAAGTGCACATACTGATGACATCCAAGGCTTCCATTAAATGCATTTACAAATATACTTTTTGACATCCATAACAAACAAGTACCTCACAAGAAAATTACTCTACCCTTCAGAGAATCAGGAAGGCCAGGACCCAAGACACAAGCAAAACTTCAACAAGCCTTAAGCTGCTCTATCTATACTTACACAACAATGAAGTTCCATTCAACAATAAGAATTGTCAGCCAGTACATATTTAACAAATACACCTTTAATCTGTCTTAAGACAGCAGTCTCAAATGTCAGCATGTAACACTATGTATCACATCCCATCTCCATCACAGGCACAAGTGCAGTCTCAGCCTTTGTGAGTTTAACACCACAGAAAACCTAGAGATTCACAGGCACTATTGAAATACTGACAGTTTTAAATCTGCAAGAAAAAGACTCATCCACTTTGTGGTGGACTTACTATAGGAGAACTATTCCACTTTCCAATGACATTAATGCTGGAAGTTAACAGCTTGATTAGAATTTGGAATTGTATCTAGATGGTTTACGTGACTTGTTACGGACATCCCTCCCTGCAACTAGCCGGGGAGCTCAAAGCCATTGGGATTCTATGGAAGTCTGAGGGAAGAGACGTCCTCTGATCTAGCCCCAGTTTGTACTGAGAGTTAGAATAACAGATGCCAGACCAGATACATGAACGAAAATACAACATGGCTGACATGCCTTCAATTTCTTTCTCCTCCCCCTTTCAAAAAAATAGAAAACTTGCAAAGGTGAGAGCTGAGAAAGTACTAGCTGTACAGTGTTTCTATGAAAGACGTTATGAACTCCATTAAAAATGGCATGTCTAGAAGTATGCTACTTTTAATGGCAGTTCTGACATTATAGCCAAACTGAATGGATTCTTTTAATAGCTTAATTACACATCAAATCTTTTAAAACAGCTTATGGGTGCATGTATTAAAGAACTAGGGAAATTCCTAGTCTTACTGTCTAGTTTTGTGTCTAAACAAACAATTTGATCACACACATTTCTTTCTGCCACAGTACAGGCATACATCATACCAAACATTAAACCAGCAGACCTTCCTTTGAAATACTTTAGCAGAATGTTTAAGGAAAGACCAATTATCTTCTGTCTCCCTTCCACACTAAGAAAACCTCACATTTGACTCATCCTGGGTTTTGTCATGCTGTCTTCATTTCAATGCTGCACATTGAGGTATTACACTCTCATACCACTGGGCAGCCTAAATTTCTGAGCAGATTTCAGTACAGCTGCAGTTAAACAATAAATAACAATATTCCTTTTATTGACTTAGACCCAAACATTCCTAATTGATTACACAGACAAATGGATATTCAAAAAGTGGACTAATTACCTCTCAGAATCTCTATTTGGATATGATCTTGCAAGTGGTGATACTGCATGGCTAAGAACAATGTAGGCATAATCAAAAACTTGTTTCACTTGCATGGCACCGTAAGAACTTCTGCCAACGTCGTTTCCTGAAATAATGTGACAGTCATCAGATCATCTTTTTTTAATATCAGTAACCAGAAAATTATTCATACTTAAAGCTCAGAAGCCTTAACAATACAGCTTAACTCTGTTTAAACCAGTTAGCCCATCCTACTCATACCAGGAACAACTAAGTGTGCCTATCTCAACAAAAGAAGCTAACCTTAGGAATGACACTTAACATTATGCAAACATATCACTTTTAAAATACCGATGTACCAGCGCCTGAAAGAAATAGAGAACAGATATCAGCTTAAAGCTCTTATAGCTGTCTTTTAAGAGGGAACCTATCAAGCTTAAAGCATCATGTCTCACTTACCAGTAGAGTTTCTGCAGGCCAAATTCAGCTTAAAATTCCACTTGTGCAACCACATTATCTTCGTAGGGCTAGGTATACTTACATTAATTAACCTTATCAAAACTACAGATTAATAAACCAGCTCATACAGATTATTTATCTCCACAGGATAAACCTGTTTGTCAAAATTTATCAGAGAAGATTCCAAAAGTTTGTACAACATTGCTTTTTGATCAAGTTAGCGGCACTTCTTGACTGCCCCTCTTTAAGCATGAGTGACATTTACAGCAGAACTCCTTCCAAATCCAGTGCCACATGTGAGGAACTGCAGTTAAGAAGTTAAGAGCATGCTAAAGCTTCTGTATCTGTAACAACGTACAAGCATTGGTCTCCCATTTGACACCTAGAAAGATCTAGCTATTACTAGCAAGAAGAAACATTTGGGTTTTTTTTTTTGTAGATGTATTTGGCATCAGACACCAAAGGTTCACTGCCACCACTCAATTTAAGAAACATAAAGAAAACTCCCTGAAATTGCATGTCTAAAACAGACTAGATCTTGAGTGTGTAGAAAGCTGCTTGCAGTAAAAGGTTCCCGCCTTCAGAATGATGCTTGGAAAGCTCTGAGAACACTGGAAAGGGATGAACCACCAAATATGTTTATTTTAAGCTTGAAAACGAGATCAGGGCCCATGAACCAGGTTTAATCTGTTTTGAAAATTGATGGGTAAAGGACAGAATCTATCTTTTGCAGGACTGAATCCAATGAGGCTGAATTTGACTTTAGAGGAACCCTTCACTCGCTGAAGTATTTTGTCCAGCAAGCCATTATAGACAAACATGCTGAGGTCTGCATCCATGGGGAAAAAAAGAACAGCCTTGGCTTTACTATCTGACAACACAATTTAGCCCTTCAAGATTCTCCAACCATAATGCCACTAACAGAAAAGCATAATTAATGAAAACAGACTAGGAACATACAAGCATTTTGGGAACACAGAATTTCTTCAGTAATTTATATGGTCAAAAACTGATTTAAGAAATACTTCCAGCTTACTGAAGGTAACTGAGTATCTCATTCTGAATGCACCACTGCAGTATCCAGCAGCTACTAGTCTCAAAATTACAGAAGCCTCTCTAAATGGCATATTTGCAATTGGACTCTATCCTGAAGTAGAAGCAGAGACCAATGTGGGCCTAGGACACTGAATCTAGGAAGAAACACATTGTAGTTAAGTTCAGAGCTGCACTACAACATAGCAAAGGACTTCACAAAGGATTTAATCCAAAGGCAACTGAATAGAGACCAAGGTTATTTCAGTTGTCAAGAAATTGGAACACAAAAAACATTAATTCTCCTAGAAAAACAATGATTAATTCAGCACAGGTTTTCCAGGGGCAGGACACATCGTTGTGTCATGCAACAATGCCACCTTCCATATATTGACATGCTAAACATATATACAAAAGAGAATTAAATTGAGAAGCAATACAGAAATGCAATATATACAAGTGGCTAAACACACACAATTGCACCTACCACTAAATTCAAGTCCACCTACAGCTGGACTTTATGATCTTAAGGGCATTTTCCAACCTAAATAACTCTATAAATTCACATAACAGGAATTAAGAATACACAGTCAAATTGCATTAGTTTAGTCTAATCTGGTGCTAAGACAGCTACATTTGACATGCATCCTGCACAGATTTACACCAAAACGAAGACACTGCTCCTACAAACTGTTGGTTACTCCTTTCGTCAGTTGTTGCCACCGCCTTCACTGTCGTGCCAGCAAAAGAAATCATAAGCCTTCCCTAATCCACTTACGGCGAACTCAGGCAGTTTAGTTTAAACCACCAACGAAGTTGTGTATGAGTCTTGATTGAAGCAGATTTGAGAACAGAGGCAGGATAGCTCATGCCATAGCATGCCTAGGTTCCTGGATTGCCTCATTCTGCACCTGTAATCAGTTCATAAAAATGTCTGAATAAACACATCTTATTCAACGATACAGTCCACAGAGCTTCTGACTTGCACTGCAGCTGAAAAGCAGGTACGGAAGCCAAAGCTACTATGCGAACTACTGTGAACTGTACCAGTCAAGTCTGTATAGAGGTGATCCTACCCAATCCAGAAAGCAACATATTAAAGAAGCCAGAAGATCACACATTTGCATTTGCTGTCCTGAATAGATTTTCTTTTGAGAAAGGCATTCTCATTAGCAGATCACATCTTGCATACCTGAGCATCCTTCTTTCTTCACAGTCTACAGACTGATCAGTTAATGCACATAACCCAAATGCTCTCACTCTTAAAAAATCATACAGACTTCAATCCTGAGATGTACATTAGTAGATAACAATGGTGTGTGATTTCATGTATAATTCAATCCTCATTCTTTCTTACAAAGCCTTCATTCCTAAAGGAGCATGTCTAAGATTTCCATCACTCACTGTCAGTATTACCACTCCGTCAGCTGGCCTTCCATTACCTGAAGCAGTTTTAAGAACAAGGCCTGGAAAGGTAAAGGTAAGACCATAAAGCTAGGACTGAACAGATCCATTGATGTTAAGCTGTTATCTAGTAAGTACCTTTTTTGCAAACCTTTTTCAGCTTTATAGAGGTTCTTTCAGATGCTAACTTCAATGTATTTGTGTATTTCTATAAATGCATATATTTTCTATACACACATATGTTTGCAGGTCCTAATGACAAAGAGCAGACACTGAAAAGCAAGCAACATGAAGCACAATTAGTCCTGCAAGTTAAAGAGTCTCTTTTCAAAGAAAACACATTGAATGATGTTTAGAACTTGTTAGTGCCTGTGGCAATTCAGAAAGGTTGTTCTTCATTCTCATGAAGGGAGCAGTGCAGGTGAAGCTCTAAGTCTTAAACTGCAATTTAGCTACACTTGCCACTGCCAGTCTGAATAAAGATCAAAATCATTCCTCTTCTGAGCATCAGAAATGACTGAAGGACCTTGAAAATTACCTGATTCAAAGGCATAAAATAATAAGGTTCCCTAATAATCTGCTGAATAAATGCCAAACTTGTTTTACAACCACAGATTAAGACTTCGTCACCTGCAACCAGAATAATGTCTTCCAAGACAGGATACTGCTAGACCAACTCCGTACAAACCTCTTCTAGGATGGCATGACCTACCCTGCTCCAACATGTTCCTGTGAACAGAATTCTGAGTGCCTGGCTTTACACTTCTCCTAAACGAATGCTTTCACTTTTTACACAAAGAAAGGACAACTGCTTTGAGAAACTGAAATGGTGGTAGCTACAAGGTGTTTATAGAAACTCCTTTCTTTGGATGATGCTAAGGGAAAGATTTTCATCTCATCACCTAGTTGTAGGACATTAACTCAAGACAAAGAATCTTAGGCTATGTATGAAGATCAAGTATAAACTGCCACTTTAAAATGCACCACCAGCTAGATTAGTCTGACATCTCAAAAGCAGAATTCAACACACTTCCCACTTCAAGTGCAGGCTCTCAACATCTTTGTTGGAATTTTGGTTCGGAATTTTGGTTCTCAAATCAAAGAAATTGTAATCCTCTAGCACCCAATAATCAGTCTTGGAAAATCTCAGAGGAAACCCTACAGCACCCAAGAAAATCTGAGCAAGATCCACTACAACCAAGACAGGTTGACGCCTGTTCCTTCCAAATCTAGGAACTAACAGAGGGTACGAGCAAGTAGAACTTAAGTACCATATCCTTCTGATGACATCATTTATCTGTTAGCCAGACATCACCATTTCACATTGAAGAAAAAGCAGTTCCTCCAACTTAAAAGCACTAATCACAGTGAACTTAATCCTGTCCCCTACAAGACTGTCTAAAGTTATTCCTATGAATTATCCTTTTGGCATCCTATTGCCGAACTAGTGCATACGCTCGTAGGAGGGACTTTTACACTACTTGAATAATCTTGAGAAACTGAAAGGCTTTTTCACCCCCAAATTTTTTGTCTGATTTATGGATTAAGAAGTTGTCTTTTGAAGTCTTCTTCCAAGGCTTAACCAGAACTTTAGACAGTGCTGCGATCAGGCTAAAAAAGGATCTCAAAAAAAAGATTAAGAACTTGTGCATACAGGTTTGAGGGAAAAACTCTACAGCAGCTTATGTTAATTAAAGTCAAAAAACATCTGTGTCCAATCTCTACCAAAATACTTGTTCACCTTCTCCACAGTACTGGCACTGACCCTCACGGAGTTAGACACTGAGCAGATCTGACCACAATCTAATCAAGCAGAGATGATGACTTGCCAACTGGGCAAGGAGCTGAACCCTTGCAAAAGTGGGTTTTGGTTTTGTTTTTGGTTTTTTGTTTGTTTGGTTTTTTACCAAAACACCAGCAGTAACAGAACTAAGCCAACAAAATTCTAGACATTATCTACATACAGTTGATAAGTACTTTTAGATACTGTAGGAGTATGTGGTTAGTCCTAAGGAGGGTGTATTGGTGAGATCAGATTCAAAAAGCCATCCTGTATGTTCTATGTAATTTTCCTCCTCGTTCCATCAGGCAAGTTCTGAAGCTCTGCGGTAGCTGCAAGTAAATATCCCTATGGGACACAGTGGTCAGACAGCTCCAAGTTATTGTCAGCTTTCACTTCGCTTGCCAAAACACTTTCTCTCCCGTAACAATTACATTATCTCAGCCCATATAACCTCATCTAAAATGTAATTCTTATCAACTCTTTAATAGCATGTAACTAGGCATCTTTCCTCTAAACTATAGTTCTTCACTCTGCAAGATTTATGCTAGGAGGAACAGTTCAGAGCCCCTACTAGACCTGCAACTTTTTTTTTTCTTCTCTAAGAGTCAAAGATAAGAAAAAATTGCAAAGCAGTGATGAAAACATTGTGCAGCATACATAATTTCTTCTCTTTCAGTCCTCAGCAGATAGGAGGAAGGAACAAAACTGGAGGACAGTAAATATTTTTGACTCTAAAGAAATGTGGCTCATGTTGCTACTCAAATGGGTCTTCAGGCAAGTCAGTACACAGCTACTGAAGGAAATCTCAATAACACAATGGAAGTTCTGCAAAATCACACCTATGCCTGGCCTAGTACAAGAGTCATGATGGACACAAACTCAGACCTACAAACATACCCGAGATGTCGTTAGACAAAATGAGTACCTTAGCTTACAACCTGTTCTAGAGAACCATGAACATTTAGCATATTCAGTATTTAAAAGGTGCCAGACTTCAGCTCCTGATCCATGGTATTTGCTTTAAAAATGCTCTACATAAGCAGTCTATCCACAAGATGCGACAATATGGAGTTTGAGTGCCAATTACATTCTAGAAATACCAATGCTGAAGTCCAAATTAACTGAAAATTGACTTTGTTAAAAAGCTGTTTTGGAACTTCAATTACTTGTGACAGTCTAAATAGAATCCAAACTAAGTACTACAAAGCTGGAAATTTTTTTCAGGAGCTCAGCCAAAATTAATCTTGATTACTTTGAAGGTTACTGAATCAAAACTAAATCTTAAAAAAAAAATTATGTTGGTTACTTTAAAAAGTACATGCAACTGTAACTGGCATTCTCTAAAGGTCCCTGT